GGGCGCCCCCTGCCGCCCGCCCGGCCGGGACAGCGCGGGCCCTGTAAACCCTGCGCTGCCCCCCACCGGGCGTGGGCACACCCGTTTGCTTTCCCTTACCCATCGCCGCTTCTTTCGTTCGCTTCCCAAAAGCTGCGGAGCAGCTTCACGGGAGCACATAAAAACGCCCAAATAAAGCTCAAAGGGGGAAGAGATTGACTATCGTCAGCACGCGCTGATGCTCACCTAGCTCAAAGCACACCTAAATAGAGCATCAAAGCTGTCCTAAGGCCTACATAAGCCTCACGTTTCCATCACATTAAGTGAGCAATTCTACATTTGGAAATAAACGTGCAAACACACTGAACTTCACAGAACTTCTGACACATTTGACAAGGTGGCTTGTGACTTCCATTCGGTCACCGAAAGCCAGCACTGCATCAGCTTTCACCTCACCTTTCATTTACAGTGGGAATATTTAAATTCTTAGGCCTAATTCTCATCAGATAGAACTAGACGCAGTTCCATATTCCAACTCTTTACTCAAGCTGAAGGTAGCATGCCATGAAATGCTCTCCCCACAGTCATTGAGATTGGGATATTCATATTTCTTTCCTGGAAATATTTAGCAACTGTGTTGCGGAAGGCTTAGATTTTCCAATGTGCTTAGAGATACAAAGGCTCTATTTAAATCTGCCTTGCAGATGATTTGAGAATGAAACAATAATCCATTCATGTTGCTCACGAAGAAAGATGATGCAATATATTTCAATGACAGAAGCTGATGGACTGAAATTACTAGGTGAATAATCGATTGAGTACCTATTTTTAAATCACCTAGTTCCCCCAGAACAAGGCAGAGGAGGATGCCTTATCAACAGGCCCTTACCACCTTTAATTTTGCCATTTTATAATTACTTAGCATTAAAGATTTCTGATTCTTAGGAGTAAAGTTTAAAGTACTTAATATCTCCATTTCCCTCTTTGCAAATCACATCGGTAAATCATGAGGTTGTAGTGTGTCATATCATAAGCAGGGCTGGCTCTGGTAGAAGGCAGTTGCACCCGGAGATTGTGCCCCTCATGTCCCACCATCGTTGTCACAGCAGACTCCCTCACCGTTTTGCTGCCTCAGGCAACTCTCTGCTTTGCCTGGTAAGGCAAATCAGCTAATGCCATAGGAGCAGACTAACCTAGAATTATATTCTGCTCTTGGAACTATTTAAGAGTTGCCACAAGATCCATTAATTCAAATACTAGTCCTTCATTCTTATTTTTAATCGTCTCGTTGAACTAACTGCTACCACTTGATCACGATAAAAGTTTTACCACCTCTGTCTGTCTTGGGCTATATTGTGCATATTCACCATGCCAAAAAGCCCTACATGTTTTCCCTTCCCAAGTACCATTCAGAGATATTCCTTCAGCTGATCGGGTTTTTTTTTGTAGAGCTCCAGTTGTTCAGTGCCTGCAACTGGCAGATGCTCTGGCTCCATTCAGCTGGGTCCCAGGATGAGCCAGCAATGCCAGCTTCTGAAGCCAGCTTGCTTCTTCTCATAACCAGTGATTAAGATTACTTGGCAACCCCTATTCTAGCTATTTCCTTATCACAG